GCCCTGTATCCTTGAAAAATCCACTTGTTGCCCGCCTGACAAACAAAAAAAAGAAACTGGCCTCAAAGGAAACCATACGGGGGTGGGGAGCAGCTTAAGAAGCGGAGCAAGGTTGAGAATGTAAAGGGCTTACCTTGGGAGCTGTAGTGTTTGGTTTTGCTGTGAAGCAAGGCCCAAGGGCCACACCCGTATGGTAACACTGCTGGGAGTTGACCTCTCTCTCTGATGTGTCTGAGCCTTACACCATCCCCATGCGCTCTCTCCCTCGTGTCCTCAGCCTTGTGGTTTCTCTGATCCTGTGATCTGCTGGCCCCGCTCCAGCAGGTGCATCCAGCTGGCTGCTGGGCTGAGCTGCAAGGCCCCAGAGACCTTTCTCACAAGTCTGAGGCCTCAATGCTGAATCTGGGCTGCTTGCCCTCATTCTCCATGTGGCCTCTCTCTTGCAACAGGAGGCTGGACATTCCTGCGCGTCACAGATGGTTTACAAGGGGGAACATTCTAGGAGGACAAGCCCCAAAAGACAAGGGCTTATCAAACCTCTGCTTACTGCACTCTTGCTGATCACATGGCCAAGCCCAGAGTCAGTGGGAAGGGATTCCATGGGGAGAATGCTGAGAGGCAGGGCTCACTGGGGCACCAGCGTGCAGACCATCCTGGCCTGCCATGTGGCAGGGCACTGGGCTCAGGCAGAGAAATGGATGAGAGTGCTCCTGGTGGTGGGATTCCCAGAGTCTACACATAGGAGAATGGAAAGCAGAATTCCATGCCTACTTGTGGAGGCAGAGGTGAGAGCACATGTACTGCCTATGGCATTTGTGGTCATTCTTGGTTATCTTGTGCCATGGTATCCAGTGGTGCAGGGTCTTATTTAGAACATTTGAGTGAACTGCCAGTGCTGGGTTTCATCAGTTTAAGAACGCAAGGAGTCTACTTTGGCAGAGACACACAAGTCTCTGCTGAGGTCACACCAATAGGGGATGGTGCTTTGTCACACCAATATTCAAGGCGGCTTCCAGCTTGGCCAGGGTGCTGATGTTGGTGCCAACATTGCTGTCAGTAGCCTGGCTGAACCTCAGTGACTAAGGATCTGGGGTTGCTTTGCAAAGACTTGTTGGGTTGGGACATCATTCCCCACTCATCTTTCAGATCTCATCTTGACCCTCACCTTCCAGGAAGTCCCCTAGACTAAGTTACTTGTAAGTCATAGCTGTCTACTCTTTCTTTGAACAGGTATTGGTCTTATTGAACTAATAATGTCTATGCTCTTGCTGGTACCTTAGCTCTGGGAGCAGAAGAATCATGAATTTGCTCATCAGTGTATCTCCAGTGCCTAGCCTCACAGAGGTTGCAATTGAAAAATGACAAATGCTTCCCCTGCTTGTATTCTACCACCTCTCCCATCCCGAGTTGGCATTTACCTTTGAAACTACTGAGTTCAAAACAAGGCCAGTGACCTTGGTCCTCACTGACCAGGTCCCAAGTGAGAACTATGTTGCAAGGGGCAGTAGCCACAGGATGTAGTGCTTGGCTGCAATAATGTAACCCCTGCCCTTTGACATGCTCATGTAACTCAGACGGCTGCTGGGACCCTACCCACGGTTAGGAGTTAAATAAAACAGTCCCATTCTATGTGTACTGGAACACCCAGAAAGACCCCATTTTAATGGGGAAAGTCAGATCCTTCCCTGGGCTTCTCACATTCTGATTTTCTGCTTCTTCCCATCGTGTGTATTTTCGCTTACTCCTTCTCACTATCCTTAATCAACCTATTTTCCCCAGAACAGCACTCATCCAAGGCCATTACTCACTTTGTTAGATTCAGTGTCTGTGTTTGGAGGTGGAGAGCGGTGATAGTGCTGTTTTAGAGATTGGAACAGCAGATAAAACAGACTATTAGACATCATCAGTCTCAAAGGCCTCGGGGACCCCTTTTCTGGGCCCTCACTCAAACTGGGGAATATCTGCAGGTTTTGCCTTGTGTTAGCTGCAGGTCCAGCTTCCTGTGTCCCTCACCCCCCTTCAACTTCTTATCTCCATCCTGATAACCCAGCCACCCTCCAAAAAAAAAATTCTTTTATTTTTTTTCTTTTTTTTAATTTTTTTGACAGGCAGAGTGGACCGTGAGAGAGAGAGAGAGAGAGAGAAAGGTCTTCCTTTGCCGTTGGTTCACCCTCCAATGGCTGCTGCGGCCGGCGCACTGCGCTGATCCCATGACAGGAGCCAGGTGCTTCTCCTGGTCTCCCATGGGGTGCAGGGCCCAAGCACTTGGGCCACCCTCCACTGCACTCCCTGGCCACAGCAGAGAGCTAGACTGGAAGAGGAGCATCCAGGACAGAATCCGGCGCCCCAACTGGGACTAGAACCTGGTGTGCCGGTGCCGCAAGGCGAAGGATTAGCCTAGTGAGCCGCGGCACCGGCCAAAAATCTTTATTTTTTTAAGACCACTCTTTAAAATATTTTTCCAAGTTTACCAAGAGGTAATTAAAATGCACCAAACTTTACACCCAAATACACAATTCTGTCAGTTTTGATGGGCGTGTGTCTATGAAACCACCCCTTCAACGTTTCTTGTTGCCCTTGTTAATCTATTCCTTGCCCATCTCATCCCCAAACACTGACTGTTTTCTGTATATGTTTGTGCTTTCTAGTGTCTTATATAAATGGAGTCCTACAATATTTCACATGCCACTCTCCTATTTTTGGCCTGCTTTTCACTTAGTATAATGATTTTGAGATGCTTCAGTGTTGTTTTGTATACATGGATATGGCACAATTTGTTTATAGATGTGAGGACTTTTTTTTTTTTTCTCCCAGCAACCATCTCTGTGCAAGTCTTTGGGTTTCCTGCTGCCTTCTCCTTTTGGGAAATACTTAGAGGTGGAACGGCTAAGTCCTGTGGTAGGAACATGTTTAACTCTAAGCAATTGCCAAGCTTACCTCCATCGTGGTTATATTTTTACCAGCCGTCTATGGCAGTTGCAGTCCATGTCTTCACCAACATCGGACAGGGTCATTTTCAAGTCAGGCATCTCACTGTGTGTTTTACATCTGTTATTTTTGTTTTATGGTCCCTGGTGTAGCTATCTCTTGGTTTCATTGCCAACCAAGGGGAAACGAATGAGGAGTCTTCAAAATGTTCACGGAAATGTATATTATGAAAACTACTCATGGATTTGCAAAAAAAATTTTTTTTGCAGCAAACAAAACTTATCTTTTAAGCCCATTTCTCAGTGAACTTTGAGGCTCCCTCATCTGTTTAAGCTTATGGAAAACTAAACAAGATTATTTCCATTTTAGAGAGATTATTAATAGGGTCCTACCTTACCTCCCTTACTGCCCTGGTTTGGATAATAAAATATAGGGCTTCCCTACTTCCAGCCCAGGGGTCACCCCCGGGCCAATCTTCCAGTCATATGCTGCTCAACAAAGTATTTCTTGCTTCTACAAGGAGTTTGCCTGTATTTCTTGGACTTTTTTTTTTTTTTTCCTGGCCACAATGGGATTTCAGGAATGGAGTAAGGTAACCTCAGTGCTGGCCTGTTCTTGCCATCAATGAGAACAGCAGAGAGGCTGGTGGAGCCGCAGGTGGGAGTCAGAGCTTTTCCACAGGGAAGTCGGGGCCACCCCGACTCCCTTTGGTCTCCGCTGGTTAGAGTCGGGTTTCTGTCACTTGCAACTGAGAGGGTGCTCACACAGAAGCCAGGGAGGCGCCTCAGAGAGGCGGGTCTGGGCTGCCGCACACTTGCACACTTCCCGTCTCACGTACCTTCGTGGCTGTCTTCCATGAAAACGGCTGTTTTCGCTGGCCCAGCCCCTGGAGTTGAAAGCAGAAGCTCTGGTCACAGTGGTTGGGGGGAAATTTCAGAGGACTCCAAACACCCAGGGTCAAAGTATTCAACGGTATCTCCGGTATCACTGTGGCTTGTTTGATCGGATACTACAGCTCCGGTATCCACTTTAAACTTTAACTAAACGCGCACGCAGCAATGTGGCTCCCAAACCGCTCTGAGGCCTGGGAAGCAGCCTCCATTTCCCTCCCTCTGAATGATTAGACCATGGCGGACACAGATCCTGCGTGTCCAGAGCGCTAAGCAGGCGCAGGCACGGCGCCGCGCAGGCCCCAGGTGAACCCGCAGGGCTCCGTGGCCGCGGCTCCTGCGGAAGTTCATAAAGAGCACAGCAAAGGCTGGGAAGAAAGTGAGGCCTCAATTAGGGCCGGAAGTGGGGCGCCCCTTCAGCCTCTTCTGGAACGTTCTGCAAAATTGAGCGCGGCCTGGAGCCCCGGGGATGCCTGTCCCCCAGGGGATACCTCAGTTCTCACGCCCCCAAGATCGCCCAAGAGCAGCCGGACTGGACACTGAGTAGCCCCTGCCCGGGGCGGGACAGCCGGCGGTGACCAGGGTCCGCCATCACGGCGTCAGCCTCGTGCCCTCAGACCCTTGGTCCCACCCCTGCGGTCCCGGGTCTGGCCTCAGCTAGCCGCGGCCCCGCCCCCTGAGCGCCTGGGTTTCCCTCTCCGCCTCCTCGCGCCAGGCCCCGCCCCTGAGCTCTCGGGTTCCCGTTCGCTCTCCACATCCTGGAGTCAGGCCCCGCCCCGCACGCATTAGACCCGCCCCCTCCGCTCCCGGGTTCCCCCCTCCTCTCCCTCACGCAGGCCCCGCCCACGCGCCCGAGCCCCGCCCCCACGAGCCCTCGGGAGTCCCGGGGAGGAGTTGCCGCGCGGGCGGAGGCGTGGCCGTGGTGCCGGCGGAGGCGCGGGCGGCGCGGGCGGCGCGGCCGGCACTTTGGCTTTGACACAGACCGCGAGCGGGAGTCCTGCGGCTGGTGCTGGGGTCTGACGCGTTCTGGCGGATCCAGTGTCCGAGTTGGGCGCAGGAGTGTTTTTTGCCTGCATAAACGCGACTGCGGTGACGCCGAAAGTCCTGGTGCAGCCCCGCAAGTCCTGGTGCAGCCTCTGCCTCTGGATTTCGCCGCCGCCGTCGTCGCCTCTGCCGCTGCCGCCCGCGAACAGCCCTGCAGCGCCTGCCAGCTCCGGGAGGACGACGCCGAGTTCCTCCCGCACACGGAGCGCGGCGGCGCGGGAGGAGCCCCGAGGCCCCGCGGACCCGCAGCCGCTGTCCCGGCTGGGCTGAGGCTCCGGAGCCGCAGGTGGGAGAGGGTCGGCGGCTGGGGAGCTGGTGTCCACAGCCCCTCCGCGGTGCCCGCGCTGGGCGGCACGGGGCTCCCAAGTGGCAGGGGGCGCCGGGTGTCAGGCACAGGGCGCCGGGGTGGGGGTGCTCCCTCCCGGAGCCGGAGCAGCGATGACCGGAGCAGACGACGGCCCTCGCGCTGCTGGACTTGAGAGAGGAGAGCGGAGACGCGAGGCTGGTGGGCATGGGCTTTCCCCAGGAGAAGCCCCTGCTAGCCTTTTTGGGCCCCGGTGTGGTAAAAGCCGGCGTCTCCACACCCACCTGGGCCGGCCTCACTGTGTTTGCTTTCTCGGGGGGTTCAGGGCCAGCCACCAGCCCCGGCCCCCTGGCTGAGGCTCCAGTAGGGAGTGCCGATGCAGATTGATTCGTCCAATCGATATGTGTGCTTGATTTCTTTCCTAGGTGGCCCTGTGAAAGGTAATTTGGGACACTCCGGGCATGGACGATTCGGTGCTTGTGCCTGGCAGCCTCTTCAGCCCCTGAGCCAGCACCTTCGGTTCTTCCGAGCTTCCTCCCTAGCCAGAGAGGTCTGTGGTGGGAAGCCTCTCTTCCTGGCCGGCCATGGGGAGCACCCTGGGCTGCCACCGCTCCATCCCCAGAGACCCCTCGGACCTGTCCCACAGCCGCAAGTTCAGCGCGGCTTGCAACTTCAGCAACATCTTGGTCAACCAGGAGCGGCTCAACATCAACACGGCCACGGAGGAGGAGCTGATGACCCTGCCCGGGGTGACGCGTGCCGTGGCCCGCAGCATCGTGGAGTACCGAGAGTACATCGGTGGCTTCAAGAAGGTGGAGGACCTGGCGCTGGTCAGCGGCGTGGGCGCCACCAAGCTGGAGCAGGTCAAGTTTGAGATCTGTGTGAGCAGCAAGGGCAGCTCTGCACAGCACTCGCCCAGCTCCCTGCGCCGCGACCTGCTGGCTGAGCAGCCCCACCACCTGGCCACCACCGTGCCCCTCACCCCCCGCGTCAACATCAACACGGCCACGCCGGCTCAGCTCATGAGCGTGCGAGGCCTCACGGAGAAGATGGCACTTAGCATCGTGGACTACCGCCGGGAGCATGGGCCCTTCCGCAGCGTCGAGGACCTGGTGAGGATGGATGGTATCAATGCCACCTTCCTGGACAGGATACGACACCAGGTGTTTGCCGAGAGGTCCAGGCCCCCGTCCACCCACACCAACGGAGGCCTGACCTTTACCGCCAAGCCGCACCCCAGCCCCACCTCGCTGAGCCTCCACAGCGAGGACTTGGACCTGCCGCCAGGGGGGCCCACGCAGATTATCTCCACGCGGCCCTCGGTGGAAGCCTTCGCAGGCACGAGGGACGGACGGCCCGTGCTGAGGCTGGCCACCTGGAACCTGCAGGGCTGCTCTGTGGAGAAGGCCAACAACCCCGGGGTGCGAGAGGTGGTGTGCATGACGCTCCTGGAAAACAGGTGAGGGCAGGAGTGGCCAAGGGTGTTGGGAGTAAGGGCAGCCCTGGCGTGGCCTCCTCGGTAGCTGTGAAGGAGCGGGCTTTATGCAGGGGGCAAGAGCATTTAGTTAGGTTGTGGCCCTGGCCAGTGTGGTGACCTGAGGCTGGGCTCTCTGTGCTCCAGAGTTTTCTGAATACAGCCATCTGGGCTCATGGCCCGTGTCCTGAGTGTGGAATAGCTGAGCTGGAGTCATGGCTTGGGGGCCGGGGGTGGGGGTGGTGGTGGTGGTGTTGCTGTCACTGCTTTAGAGAATGTTGTTTGACTCACAAGCTTGACCCTGAATCAGGTACCCAGAGCCTAGGATCTAATGTACAGGTTTTCACGGGAGAAAGAGGTCATTAGATCTTTTTTATTATGGAGAGGAAAAGATCACATTTGTTCACTCAAATTCACTTATTTGTGTGCACAAAATCATCTTAAAGCCCAGGTATTTGCAAACACACACGCTGTCTATATTTAACAAAATGCTGTGAATGAATCACTCTTCACTCCTTTTCCTTATTTAACCTGAAGGTGGTTTTCAGTCCCACGATTGCAGCCCGGAATGTGTGTGTCCACTCCTGTCCCACAGCCAGAAAAGGCCAAGCTGCCTCCGTGTGTGCATATTGGACGGATTTTCCCATTTGAATCAGGAGACTCCGAGGACAGGCTGTTGTCAGAGTGTTTATGTTATTCGCAACACTGCTCCCCGTAGGGACTTCCGTTAACTTCCCATTAAACAAAACAGTCTATCATGGCATAACTCATGCTGTTAGCAAAGTAGCGTATGGTGTAATGCAATCAGCCTCGGGAAGCCAAGAAACATTGGTGCTGATGCCTTCCAGGTCAGAAATCCTCAGATCCTGGACTTGAGGGAGTTCGTCCTGCCAGTCCCTGCAGGTGACTGCTTCCCTCGGCTCTGGGTTGTTGGCGAGGCTGGTGGGGCGGCCGTGACTTGGTGACATGAAGTGGGTTCTCGGCGGGAAATCACTCTGGGGCAAATCAGTAAAGAGGAAAGCAGGTCACAGCATTTCTGGCGCGCGGTCACGTAGGGGAGAGGAACTGCACACGGGGTCGGAGGACTGGACCAGGGGAGCCTCGAGTGCTCTTTCCGTGCTGCGCTGTGTTCTGTTTTGCAGCCTGACTTGCTCCTTTTGCAAAACCATATTGCGCACAGGTGCGAGCCAGCCTCAGCTATTGATTGGAATGTCTTGACCATAGTTCTTTTCAGCTGTTGCAGCATGGGTGTCTGTAGGAATAGAGCGGGAGGGCAGGGAGACACCCGGCTATTTAATTCCTCTGATGAGTTTTCTTAGGGCTCAATCTGGGGTGGAGAGTGGACATGAATCAGGATCTGATGTTTTCCTGGTGGGAATGAGAGTCTTTGCCTGTTTCTTTTTTTGGTTGGTGGTTCCTGAAGTGGCTACTAACTCAGAAACTCTGGGGTTCTGTGTGGTAGCAGCCTTCAGGTGAGTCTGATGCCCACTGAAGTTGGAGGACCGTTGTGCTAGGTGTCAGGCTCTCAGCTGTGCCTCCGGGCTTCTCATGAACACCCCGCCTCCCCTGCCAACAAGCTGGCTTTTACTGGAAGGTCAGTGAATTCATGCAGAGTTTTTCAGGTGCTCCCCCTTCCCCACCCCTGTTTCTTTCTTGTGATCATCCCTAGGGTGAGTCAACCCTACGATGTTCTTTCTGGCCAGGGTTTGAGGTGCTTAGCCAGCTTCTGGGATGTAGAATCATGAAAGGTGGGAGACAGTGTGTGAGTAAGGGCAGTTGACCTTGGAAGGGGCGCCACACTGTAGCGCAAGGCTGGGCAGCCGGGGCGCGCTCACATTCCCTGTCCAGCATGGAGTTGCTGAGGTTTGGCCTATTTTTATTTTGTTGGGTTTTCTAAAGGGATGAGGATTTGTTGAAGACATTTAACTACTGCCTTCAGGCGAGGATATGGGAAAAGCTGACCCAAACCTGGTGGAAGGTAGAGAGGGGCACCTGCAGGTGACGGGGAGGTGACCTCACCGCCATCACTTTCTCGCACCCGGCCACTGGGCACTCCCCGTGATTTTCCGGATCTGGCAAACATGACATAATGAGCTTAGGGCCTGATCCCTTGTGGCACTAGGATGGGTACATTTGCCTGCAGGACTGTCCCAGGGCAGCGAAGGCTGTCACAGTGTAGATCACATGTCGTCAGTGACAGCGGTATGCATTCTCCAGGGCTGCATGTTCATCTTGATTGGCAGGAACCTCTCACATTCCAGTCGCTTCCTTTATTAGAAGAGGAAATACACTTAGCATGAACGAGAGTGGGTGCAGGTCATTTTCCAAGAGACTCTCATTTGCATACACATATGCATGTGACAGAAGAGGTCCCTGACTTCTGGAGAGGCCTTCCCGTGTTCTAACAGGGTTCACATGCATTTGGTTTCCCTGGTAGCCCCAGGGAGCAGTAGGTCATGCTTGCTTTTTATTTATGGTTCTCCAACTCTAGGTGGGGAAACTAAAACCAAGGAAGTTAAAAGACTTGCCTCTGTCCAAGCTCTTGGCAAGCCTGCTGCCTTTTGCAAGCACAACACCTTTATCCTGCCTCTGGGTTTGCCAACCTGTGCTCTGTCATATCAAGGGCGCTTGCCAAATCATGTGCCAATCAGTTTCTTGCACCCAAAAGTAAAGGAATTTTAAGGAAACTCTTGGACAGTTCTTTTGCAACAGGAATGGCTGGCTCTTTGTTTTCCTTTCTGAGTTTGCTTTATAGGTGTGCTTGCTTAAGCTAAAGGGTACCCGTGTGGCGGGGAAGTCAGAGTTCTTTCTTGCCCTGAGATGCTGCTACTCTGGGATGAACACATGTGAGCTATAAGAAACTGTGTTTTGCGCCTGAAGCTTGAGGTCGGGCAGCACAAAGCCAGATAATTATAGTCACAAAGAGCCCTCAGGACGCTGTGCTGGTGGCACAGAACTGACAGGTTCCATCAGTCTTTTGCCACATCTCAATCTCAGGCAGTGTTCTTCCCTGTTCAGTGTTTGTGGAGCAAGGCTAAGTATCCTTGCAAACTTTGGTGACGGTCGATGTAAGAAATGAAGATGGTTTCATTTGTAATTTTTATTTCTTTTTTGCTGAGGAGTCATTCTGTTTTGAAAAGTGCCTTTGGTTACTGCAAGCATAAATCCTGGGCAAGCTGACACAGATAATCTCCAAAAGAAGTAAGGAGATTTAACATCCCACTTACTCCTGTTTTCTCCCCATGGTCTACATTAGAAGGAAACTCAAGTGTCAAAGTCGTTAGCCTTATAATGGTTTAAATCTGATTTCTTGCCACGTCTGCAATATCAAAGCATAAGGTGGATTAGTGTCTGGCAACATGCACTGGTTGCGAGAAAAGAGATTTCTCTTATTAAACTTAGTTGGTAGGATCACTGTAGATACAACCCATCTTGTTATTTGATTAATTGAAAAATGTGCATTGCATGCCAACTGCACATGCATAAGCTTAATTAGGGAATCAGCTTGGCCCTGTATTGCACAGAGAGAGTTAGGTAGAGGTGGGTCAGTTTGTAGGGCTCAACGCCAAGCCCAGATCTGGGGGACAAGTCACAGCATGATTGATACCTGGCTATATTTTTCCCATGAGTAATAGGCTCATCCTTGGGGATTGAAGAGTGAGTGGATGCAGCCAGACATAATATCTGGGGGAAAATGCTTGTTAATCCTCTTGAACTAGAAAGTGTGACCTCTGTTTTGGCAGCTGTGGAAACTGAGGCCCAGCAAGATGATGATAGCATTTGTGTGGCTTTTGGAAATGTAGATGTTGGCTTCAGGACTTGAAGCCAGGCATTTGTCCCATATCAAAGCCAGGACTAGATGTGTCTTTTCCCAATCTCCATGTCCTTCCCCTGCAGAAGGTCTAAGGCCTCTGGGCCTTAGACCAGCCATGTGTTAGGTTCTTGGGGAGCAAGACGGCTGCACCTAGACTCCCGGGACTGTGGCAGCCTCTGGAGGTCTCTGCTCCCTTCCTGTTTTCGTTCCTCCAAAGGACTGGGATTATGGCCAGGGGCAGAGCAAATCCTGAGGGTGTCAAGGCCTCACCAGCGGCCCCCACTCTGTGAGTCTGACCTTGGGCTCAACTCCAGGGCAGGTTCCGGTTTTCTGAGCCAGCAGCTCTGGGTCGCTTCCAGAGGTGAAGGTGGTCAGCAGTTGGACTGCCGTGGATTCCCAAGGGAAGACAGAGTGCGAGGAAGGCCAGTGGGTGCAGTACAGGTCGATCTCACTAAGTGCAGGGGTCAGCTATTGTTTTTCTTCTTTTTTTTTTTTAAGATTTTTATTTATTTATTTGACAGAATTACAGACAGTGAGAGACAGAGAGAAAGGTCTTCCTTCCGTTGGTTCACTCCCCAAATGGCCACTATGGACAGAGCTGTGCGGATCCAAAGCCAGGAGCCAGGTGCTTCTTCCTGGTCTCCCATGCAGGTATAGGAGCCCAAGGACCTGGGCCATCCTCCACTGCCTTCCTGGGCCACAGCAGAGAGCTGGACTGGACGAGGAGCAACCAGGACTAGAACTGGTGCCCATATGGAATGCTGGTACCACAGGTAGAGGATTAACCAAGTGAGCCATGGCCCCTCAGCTATTGTTTTTCAACAAGGCTGGGCCCGTGTCAGGTCTGAGTTCAAGGCTCTGCAGGAGTTAGATAGTATTAATTCTCCCAGGAGTTACCCACTCCCTTATTGTTTATTGTTTCACTCATTTATTCGTTCAACAGGCAATTCTTGATCTCCCCATAGGTGCCAGGCTCGGTGGCAAGTTTTAGTTCTAAAGTGGACAACAAGACAAAGCCCTGCTCCTATAGAACTTCCATTCTGAGTGGAGATGAGGAGGTCAACACGTAGATAAATAATTCCAGGTAATGGCAGATGTAGAATGATGGAGTGAGTTGAAGAAAAGTCTGTTTAGACAGAGGTGGTGAGGGAAGGCTGCAGCTGAACACTGA